CTTTCCAGGATCTTTGCCAAGAAAACCCCAAATGGGGTCACAAAGAGTTGACCATGACTGAAAATGACTGAACAACAACAAAAAGACCAGCAGGTAATTAATTCTTCAGCCATGCAACCCATGAGACAAAGACAAGTTTTTAAATGACCTCCTGTCTTATGCAGACCTACTTACACTCCTTCAGATGGAATAGTAGAAAAGAGGACAGAAGGTAATAAAAATTAAAAATTTTAGATTATCTACAAATATTAACTTAACTGTAGGTACTCCATGATATCCAAAAAACTGATATATGATTGGGAAAACTGAATAATATCAATATTTTCATAGTAAGCAAAACAGAATAAAAAGAAGTCAGAGCTAAATTGGATGGATGATTGACAGTCTCTCCTTAAAAAATCAAAACATGGTTTGGTAGAATAGATTTCATTGTACACTCAAATGAAAAAAGAAAAAAGTATTTTATGGAGCATTTGGTCATCTCTTCTTGAAACGTTCATGATAAGCATCAGCAAAAAAGGCCACCATGAAGATAATTGTAAATTATTCAGCAATACTTGTTGCCAAGAATGATGAGGTAGAGAAATTCTATAAGGAACTTGACAAGATCTTCAACACAAGTCAACATATATGTTGGTATTCAGGAAGGTAGGCACAGGGAAAGATTTTGGAGAGTATGGTTTGGGTTTGAGAAACAAAAGAGACTAAGTAAAGTCATATAGACTATTCAGAAGACTTATGTCTAATTATCACATACACTTCTTTTCAGAAGAGAGTTAGAAAATACTGGATACCATCAAGCACCATACACCTCCAGAAAACATGAAACTATACCTTAGGAGGAAATTACTAGTTATTCATGTGGAAGTCATATTAGAAAAGTCAACATCAAATTAAAAGTATAGTGAAGAAATAAAACACTGTGAAATATTGCAACTTTGACCTAACCTATTCATGATCCCTTGATGCCAAAAAATATTAATCTTGATTACCAACATTTTCACTGAAGCTTAGCCACTGAAGCTTAGTCACCACAATGATGAGGCCAAGAGAGCCCAGAAACCACCTTACTATGGAAGTATCAAGCAGAGAGAGAGAAAGGTAAATGCAAAAGGTAACACCAGTTTGAAATACAAACTTGTCTGTAAATCAGTAGAGAGGAATATGGCCACAGATTTGGAGCACTATCAACTCATAAAAGAGAGAAGAAGGAAGAGGAGGAAAAGAAGAAAGAAGTTTGGTGTGAAAGTCAACTCATCTCAAATCATCCCAAGAGCATCCAGATAAAATTGTCAAGAAGACAACAAATAGACAGAAAAAGTGGAACAAAATTGATATTTCTATAAGAATCCTTTTTCATCAGCCAAAGAGGAACAACTACATTTGGACCCCAACACTCCAGTCCTCATTATGCTCCACAAAGAGAATAAAATGGTATCTAAGAAGTTGAAATGAAGAAGAACGACTGGATACCAGCAATAATACATCAAGAAAATCCATGCTAGAAGTGACTTAGTCTTGACAGCACTGGCAGATTACTTTATAATATATCTCAAAGCCTGGAAGATGTTAAAGTATTGGGAGAAATTATAGATGATATTGTTACCCCTCAAAAGACAGCTATAAAACAATAGCATATTGTGATATATATATGTATACTTTCTCATCTTTACAAACTCCTGTTACGTAAGAGTTTACATATGTATCTAAGGGTCCTTGATGAAAATATGAGAAAAACACAGTCAAGTGTTGAGAGATTATTTCCTAAATGTATGTAAATGTTAATACCTTTATAGTCACACAAGTGACTGAAAGGTACAGAAAATACAAGATTGACCATGTTTATTGTTTGTTGATTACCAAAAAAAAAAAATTGACTCAGAGGATTATTAACTCAGTAGAGATTATTCTTCAAAGGCTGCTTGGTCCAACATTCCCTTACAGACTTCAAAGGTCATCTAGTCCAACATTTTCTCACATTTTATAGTTGAAGAAACTGAGGTCCAGAGATGTTAAAAAAAACAAGTTATCCAAGACCACACATGGAGTAACTAGCATAGCTGGGATTTGAATCCAGGACCTCTGATACCAATTACCTTTTCTACCATCATCTGTGCATATGTGAAAATTATATAAGATTCCTTAATAAATGCAACCATAGAAATATTCTGTTTAGGAGACCCTAAAGATCAAATAAAACCCTTAAGGAGAGAATCCTGTGCTTGCCAAGAGGCAAGCTATTTGTAGTTATATTACAAATTACATTGTAATTTACATTACTATAGATTACTAATCTTTTACTACTGTGATAGTGATTGTCTTGTGCATGGTCTATGTGGAAAAAGAAATTCCCTGGACATGGTGAAGGATGTTCTATAAGGGGCAAGGTCTTCCAGAAACTTCTGTTTCCAGATATTCTTGCACTGAAGAACATCACAGGACCTCCTCAATGAGAAACACTCAGATTATTAGAACAAATACTATACAAAAAACTAAATGGATGAAAAATACCTTTTGTCCAATCTATGATATGCAATTGGATGGCCAGTCTATTAGTACAGGTTCTGTGGATGGACAGTAAGCAGGGCCCAAAATAAAATAGGAGGAAGAGAACAAACTAAACTACATTTGAGAATCTACATAGTGAATGTAATGACATGAAGCTGTTTCCTTAGAGCAAAAGCCCATCTGTGTAACATGGATGTTCTCCCAAAAGCCTATAGTTACAAAGCTTGGAACATCACAGTCTCAAAAGAATCCAAGAGATGCATCATGTGTATTAGTAGGATGTGGAATATTTTCAATGATGACTTCTGCACAAGAAATGGAATAAGGAATATCAAGGTATTGTATAATCAGAAAAGGACATGGGCCTGTCAGTCACATGGCAAGAAGTATATGAAAGCTGTACAGCCAGAGTGTTGTACAAGTGTACATAAAATAGGAGAAGACCTAGCTGAAGGCCCCCAGCATTTGCAGTGGATCTTCTGAAGAGAGTCTATGGGAAAGCATGGAAAAGAATCACATACAGTGAAAAAGCATGGATACATCATGACCTGTGTCAGTGGAGGAAGTGCCCACTTTGATGAGATCATATATGCTTTGAAGTGACAAAGTGGGTGACATGTGAACTGGGTGAAGAGAAGCATTTCAACCAGCATGGAAAAATGGAGTAAGAGACATTATCAAGGACTTAACTGCTTGGAAAAGGAAGCAGGTCAGTCCTTTTTCGAGAATGAAGGGTAACATGAGGACTGTCAACATGTAGACCATGGTATCAATGAACTGTTAACAGAACCAGTAGAAGTAAAATGGATATCTCCTTCTATAGAGAATTTATGGAAGGATATGGACAAGAATCACACAGGGTAAAATTTGAGGGTCAGGGACCTCCACTGGTGGCGTTGGTGCCCATTCTGGATCTAAGCTATCAAACTGATAATGTCCTATTCTGATGCCTCATCATGGCCCAGAACTTTAGGTTCTAAGAAAGCTAGACCAGTACAGCATAAACTCTGAAAGGTCCCAATGACTTGACACAAGCCAAGCTTTGAGAATGGGCCTGGTGATCGACTTGGGGTTTATTTTTATAGGCACAGTCTAGCTAAATTCAGAGAACATCCTCACCAAGAGTCCAAGAGTATCTAATATTTTGGTCATGACAGCTTATAAATTCAATTTCATTTAGTTCAGCAAGTGTTGATTAAGGGTCTGCAATGCACAGGACACTATGCTAAGTACTTGGGCATACAATGGCAGGAATGAAACAATTCCTTCCCTCAGGGAGCTTACATATACAAGGCTGACGTCACAACCTACGAAATCCAAAATTTAAACAAAATGCATACAAAGCGTTAGAAGGGAGGAGCAATCATGTAAGAGAGAGCACCTAAGTTGAATCTAGAAGGGAACTAGGGACTCCAAGGAGCAGAGATAACAAGGGAGAGGGAAAGAGAAGGAAGGAAATAAGCATGTGTATAGTACCTATTATGTGCCAGGCATTGTGCTAAGTGCTTGACAAATATTATTCCATTTGATCCTCACAACAACCCAGTGAGGGAAGGGCTATTATTATCCCCATTTTATAGTTGAGGAAACTGAAATAAAGAGTTTAAGTGACTTGCCCAAAGACAAATAACTAGTAAAGTGTCTGAGTCTAGATTTAAATTCAGGTCTCCCTGACTCTGAGCCTAGCCCTGGGAGAGGCATACAAGGTCTAGGAGTAAGCCTGTGCAAAGGTCACAGAGGTAGGAAATGAAATGTCACCCATAGGGAAGAGCAAGTAACAGTAGATCAAACTGGCTGGAATTTTTAGTGCATGGTAGGTGGGTGGTGATGAGAAATCAGTCTGGGGTCAGAGCCTGATTGTGAAAGGTTTTAAATATTAAAGAGAGGTGTTAATATTTTATCCCTAAGGCAATTAGGGAACCACTGACCCTGCTTGAGTGGCACAGTTGGACCTGTATTAAAATGTAGAGGGATGGTGATCTGTAATAGTGAAGGAAGCCCCTATTACTGGAATCACTGATTTTTGAAATAAAAATATTAAAAATATTAAAAATTTTGAAATAAAAAAATTTTTTTAAAGTTAATTGCTCCCTTTCCAGTCTGTCACATGCCTAAAGCTTGACCAGTAGAATTTTATTCCTTGAGATTAAGTAATATCTTTTTTAGACTCTTAATTTAAAATGCAGAGCCCCCTGAGATGAGGATATACTAAGCCATTAAAATAGTCTTCAGCACTTTAGCATGAAAGTTTCAGACTCTTTCCTTCCTAAAAAGGGATTATCCCACTTAGAGAATGGGAGATATGGGACACAGACGACAAACTAGGCTGACTCCTGGGGGACTGTGAGGCAAGCCCAGTTTGAAACAAATTTGGAGATTAATCAACCCAGCAGAAAAAGTCTGCCACACACAGCTGCTGCCTGGCCAGTGTCTCTTCCTCATACTACGTCTGCTGCTGGTGCACACCTCCTGCCTCCTACCACTCTGCTCACCTGCAGGGCTGCCTTGTCCACCTGGAAGGAATCCATGAGGACCACTTTTTCCTTTTCATGGGAGGCTCGGAGTGCTGCAGGGAAAGGGCACCATGGTTAGCTCAGTTACCCACAAGACTTGCCTCCAGCCAAGAAAGTGTCAGCTGTTACCAGAGACCTGAAGAATCTAAGACTCAGTCAGACAACCAAGAAATAACTGGGAAACAAGAATTTCCAGCCACATTTAGCATTTTAGTATATTTAGTAAAAATAATTCTAAGAAGCAAGAGACCTCAGCTCTAGTCATTGTTCCACTACCAATTCGCTGTGTGACCTTGGAAGTACCTTCACCTCCTTGAACCTGTTTCATCATCTGTAAAATGAATATAAAAACTCCTGCCTACCTCACAGGACAGTTGTAAAGATCACATTAGATAATGGATGATACCATTAAAACCCTATACTCCACTGGGCTAGCTCTTTTGTTGATTTCAAGGTAACAAAGAGAAAGTAATTATTATTATTATTATTGTAGTAGTAGTAGTAATAGTAGTAGTATTAATAAATAATAATAAACAGTAGTAATAAATAATAAGTATAATAATAATAGCATTTAGATAGCATTTTAAGACTTACGAAGAGCTTTACAAATATCTCATTTGATCCTCACAACAGCCCTGAAAAGGAGGTACTATTATTATCATCCCCATTTTACACATGAGGAAACTAATGCAGATAAGGGTTAAGTGATTTGCCAGGATCACATAAAGTACTAAATGAGGCCATATCTGAACTCAGGTCTTCCTGACTTCTGGTCTAGCACCACGAAGCTGCTTCTGACTCAATCACAGGTTGAGTTTTCTAGAAGAGTGGGAACTGCTGAGTAGTATGAAGTAATGGTCAGGTCTGACAAGTAAGGACTGAGGCATATAGCCTGAACTATAGGCTCAATAATTCCTCAGCCAAGCTTTGAGCTTCCTGGCTAGTTTCCTTTGGGATTAAAGGATAGAATTCTGAATTCGGGAGCCTAGTATGAAGATGTTTCTCCCCTTGTTCCCTTAAATGGAGGCGGGTATTAACAAAGTGACATTTGTATTGTATGAAAAGTCTGGGTTTTAAAAACACCCTTTCCATTCAGACATATCTTTAATAGAGACTCTTTTAACAGGCTCATAAAACTAAAGCCATAAGGGTTCTCAGAGGCCATATATAGTTCTACTTCCTCAATTTTGTAGGTGAGGAAAATAAGGCCAAGTGAGGTTAAACGACTTTTCCAAGGTCTCACAGATAATGTTGGAGGTAAGATTTGAACCCAGGTAATCAGTCTCTACATTCACTGTCCTTTCCTATTCATCACATTTTTTTTTAAGGCAATTGGGGTTAAGTGACTTGCCCAGGGTCAAACAGCTAGTAAGTATCAAGTGTTTGATCTGAGCCTGGATTTGAACTCAGGTCCTTCTGACTCCAAGGCTGGAGTGCTATCCATTGCGCCACCTAGCTGCCGCCATTCACTGTTCTTTCCACTGTACCATGATGCTTCTGTTAGAAAGAGTATGGGACTAGAAGTCAAGATGCCTGGGTTCCAAAACCATCTCTGCCTCCAGTTGTGGGAAGAGACTCAAGCTCTATGGGACTTGAATTCTTCTTAGATGAATTTAAAGGAAATTGGCTTAGTTGATCTCTAAGGTCCCTTATATTCTAAGTCTTAACTCCCCTCATTATAATGAAATCCTATGATTCTGTGCCTCTCAGTAGAAACAGCACAGGAAGCATGGGGAGACATTCCAAGATTGGGGGGAGGGAAGGATGTTCTAAGGTGTGGTTCCCCAACGTGAGGCACCTTGGTGGGGCACTTCCTATTACCTGCTTCTAAGCAAGATGCACCATGTTTCCTTAGGTATGTCAGGGCATTCCTATCTCTTGATATAGTTCCAGACAACAAATTTAGAGTTCATCCCCAACCCCACCCCATAGTGGTGGCCCCAGAAACATTTCCTCCTGTTCCCAGTCAACAAGCTCTATGAATCTAGGAGTGAGGTCTTTACTCAACCCAAGAAGGGGCTATACTAGTCACAATATCTCTGCCTCCTTCTCTTTCCCAGTCACTGCTTTGGCCAATTCAGTGCTGAGGTGAAGAGACCAGGTCAGGAGCCACTTCCAGACTTTCTCAGGACCAAACGTAGACATAAAGACAAATATGCCTCTAGGAAGGGAAGTCTGCTCTCCTGGGAATATGGGAGAAATTAAGATTCTTGCAAGAACAGGAAATTTACACATGCATGTATGCACACACATGAAGAAAGGGACCAGATAACCAAACAAAATAGAATCAGAGTTCTCTGTAGGAATATTTTCATCTCTAAAAGTGTTACTACCCAAAGAGCACTGAAACAGTGGCCAGAGTCAAGATAAGTAAGTAAGCCAAGTAAGGATTCAATTGGCTGTTCATTGCCATACCACTTTAGTATGATACCAGAATCTCTAACTAGGAAAAGATATTCCCTTTGCACTGACTGATTCAGGACCACAGACAGCATCTAATTGCCACTGAGATACAATTTTAAGCTGTTAGTAATTAATATTCCATCAGAGGGGAAGCTAGAGGTACAGTGGATAGAATACTAGCCCTGGAGTTAGTCAAATTCAGCCTCAGACACTTACTGGTTGTGTGACCCTAAGCAAGTTACATAACCTCAGTTTGCCTCAGTTTTTTCATCTATAAAATGGGGATAATAATAGCACCTACCTCTCAGGGTTGTTGTGAGGATCAAATGAGATAATAATTGTAAAGTGCTTAACACAGTGCTTGGCACATAGTAAGCACAACCTAAATGTCAGCTATTCTTACCTCTATTAACAAATCCTCTGAGAACAAAGCTTCTTTCTCACAATATCGCTGTGAGGTACAGGGGTATAGGCTTTGTTAATAGAGAAGTCCAGAAAGGGTAAGTAACTAGCCTAGGTTCACATAGCAGCCTAAACAGGAAGATCAGGACTAGACCCCAGTTCTTCTGACTTGGCCCAGAGCTCTAACTCAACCTTGTACTAAACTTACAAACCTAAATTTATAGAGTGATTAGAAAGGCTCTGCTATGATGGCGGATATACTCTGTCTAGGAGCTCCTGCACTATCAGTGGACCCTTGGTCCAAAGGGTGATCCCACATGTGAAGGTCTGGGCAAGGACATGATCCCCTGTGGGAAAAGCATCCCATGTACCAGGTGGGCTAGATCTGTTACTCCCCCAAGAAGACGGGGTCCCCCCTCCCAGACTCTGGGGTTTTAGAGGGGCTCCTCCCACCCTTACCTTGTAAGGTCTCTTCATGCTCCCTTTGCAATACTTTGAGCTGCTCAGCAAGTTTTTCACGAAGCTCTAATTCCTGTTCATCCACCACCTGGAAATAAGGAAGGCCCAGGGGAGAGTGGGATGGAGCCAATTAGTTCCCTACCATTATAATTCCAAGGGCAAGTTTCATCGACATCAGGACTGGCAAGAACCTTAAAGATCACGTAGTCTGAGTCATTTGACAAAGGAGGAAACCAAATCCCAGAGAAGTGAAGTGATTTACCCAAGATCACACCAAGAGTTAATGACAGAGATGGGAAAACAGGTCTCCTGACTGTGAGTTTAGTAGAAGGGGTGAACTATATGGAAATTCCTTTTTGCCCTTAGGAATAAGAGCTTTAAAAACATCAAGGAAAGGATCTCCAAGCTTACTGACATTGGTCTCTTCATTATGGGATGATTGTTCCTTGGTTATTTCCCTCCCATAGTCTTCCAAATGCTAACTCCTTCCAGGCAGGAAGGTAGGTTATATCCTAAGAAAACCTATAGGGTAAAGGAAACTGCTGGAACCTGGGCCAGGGAACCCACCTGGACTTCCACTTCCCTGGTCTGATGCTCTGATCTCAGCTTCTCTGACTCTTCTTGATGCTTCTGGAGAACATGGACCATGTCCAGTTGCTGCTGCTCACCATGGAAGAGATGGGGATTTGGGTCTATGAGGAAAACCAGATCATGAGTCCATTGGGGTAGTTGGGGGGGGGGTGCAGTTGGGGGAAGGACCTAGTTGGAGGATATGGTTAGCATGGTCCCTGTTCTTGTAAGTAGGAGGACAATGGAGTTAACTGGAGGATGCTGGCCCAAGACCAATCATTAGGGAAAAATCAAGGCCTTTAATTATGTAATACTGACTAACTTTTACCAGATCTGTAATTTCATAAATCTAGGGGACTCTTAATGAGGGGACAATCCTCTGCCAAGGCAGCCTGGAACCTTCTTTGACACTTACAGTCTTACAAATGCATATTTGTTACAAGGGTTTGGTTTTTGTTTTTGCTTTTTTGGTAATCAGAGGAGAGTGTGGGAGGGAAAAAATAAATGGTAATTGAAAAAAAATTTTTTAAAGAAACATATTTTGGAGAGTTGCCTGGGACATTGACAAATTCAGTGCCTTGCTCAGGGTGACACAGTCAGTATGTTCTGAAAGCAGAATTTGAATGCAGGTCTTTCTGTCTTTAAATCCAGTGCCCTATTCATTATGCCACACTGCATCTCCAAATATTAATTTTTATGGAAGAAGAAAATGCGATCCAAAAAGTGGCAGCATGATATAATGGAAAGAATACTGGATTGGAGTTAAAAATACTTGGCTTTGAATCACATCCGCCTCTGACATCCATTAAGTGTGGGCATGAATTGATAATTAATTTATGAAATTATGAAATGGGGGTTGGCACACCTGGTTCTTTGGCTACTCACTAGGAAAGACTACAATTGGCAGAGGGAAATGCAGTAGCTATCTTACTTAAATAATACACAGAAACATGCAGCAAAAAGTAGGCATACAGTGCTGTGGGGACAGGGGAATGAGATAGTGAAAGGAAGCAGTGTGAGAAAAGATGGGGAGGGGAGAGAGGCAAAGAATATAACTCAGGTAGCCATGAATTTGGGAGTTGGGAATACTAATTAGCAAGGACCCTATGGAGAAGGAAGACTGCTAGGGGGTGGGGAGGAATCTGAGGTCTCATTTTTATAGGATTTTTTAGCGAAGCAAACCAACTCCTATCTATGCCACCTTGAGGTTAGTTCATTAACATATCCAAATTATCTCAAAGTTATTGCTAAAACTCTAACGTTAACATGTCTATATCATCTCAAAGTTATCAGCACCTTTTGATGTTCTGCTGGTCTGGAGCTGTGGACCATCAAATTTTTCTAGAATTTACATATAATAGGATCTTTTCTAGAATTTATGTATTGTGGGGCACCTAGGTGGCTCAGGGGATAGAGCTCCAGCCTTGGAGTCAGGAGGACCTGAGTTCAAATCCAGCTTCAGACACTTGACACTAGCTATATGACCCTGGGCAAGTCACTTAACCCAGATTGTCTCACCAAAAAGCTGTTCCTCATTCAACACATTATCAGAATGTGAATTTTGGTTAATATATGATCCAAATTTGTGAATTATTTCCTTTGATGGTTGGGATAGTTTATACATGACTTCCAGGTTCCCCTTTGCAGTCTTATTTCCTTTTATTGCCCTTTTATACTGGCTACTTACAAGTTTACTATACTGACTAGGGGTGGTTGGTTAGGGGGATGAGAACAAGGGCAAGTCACTTCCATTCTTTGAGCCTTTGAGTTTCTGCATCTGTAAAATAGGGATGATATCTGTAGTACCATGGGGTTGTTACTCAATAAACATTTATTCAGCAGTCACTATGTGCTAAGCAGCCACTGTGCTAAGCACTGGGAAAACAAAGAAAGGCAAAAACACGTTCTCTGCCCTTAAGGAACTCACATTCTAATGAGGGAGACAGCATGCAAACAATTATTTACTTACAAAATCTATATAGAGTAGGTGAAAAGTAATCTTAGAGGCAGGACACTAGTAGAGTGAGGGTGAGGGTGAGGGTAGGGGTGGGACAAACTGGGAAAAGCCTCCTACAGAGGGAATTATTTGAGCTGAGCCTTGAAGGAAGTCAACAGGTAGTGGTCAAGACGGAGAGCTTGAGGAACAAGCCAGTGAAAAGGTACTGGGATAAGACGTGAAGTATCATGTGCAAAGACCAGCAGAAAGTATTTGTTGCTGTGTTGGAGAATATATGGAAAGGAGTAAATTGAAAAAAGACTAGAAAAATTGGAAGGAGCAAAAAGGAAGCACTTTAAATGCCAAAGAGAGGAATTTTATGTTTGATCTCAGAGGTAATAAGGAACCATTGGAATTTCTTTTTTTTTTTCAGTGAGGCAATTGGGGTTAAGTGACTTGCCCAGGGTTACATAGCTATTAAGTGTCAAGTATCTGGTCTGAGGCCAGATTTGAACTCAAGTCCACCTGACTCCAGGCCCAGTGCTCTATCCACTGTGCCACCTAACTGCCCCACCATTGGAATTTCTTGAATTGGGGTGTGTGTGTGTGTGTGTGTGTGTGTGTGTGTGTGTGTGCGTGCGAGAGAGAGAGAGAGAG